GGTGAGGGGAAAGCAAGCATGTAACTGCAGTAATACATATGATGCTGAGTTTTTCAAATGCTTCAGGGAAACAGTAGAGATTTTTAAAAATGTGTAATAAGTTAAAAGGAAAAAAAACAAACAAAGGATGAAACGCAGATAATTTACAGAAGCTGGGGGGCATGTTTTTTCTTCTCCCTCAAGCACAAGATAGAGTGTTAAAGCCACTTAACATCAGTATTAAACATATTGAATCACCTGGCTGAATCTAATTACACAGCAGCTTCCATAAGAGGAACAAATCATTTGAGAATTCATAATCTTCACTCCAATTTACAGATCTAATAAAAAACCTCTCGGAGGTTTTTATGGTGTTTTACCATTGTTTCAGTATCGGTAAAGCAGGGCTGCTGAAACTTTGCCCACTGCCTAGCTCTTGCCTTTCAGGTTTCCACTTAATGTTGACTATAAGGCAGCCAAGTGAACTGCTGGTGCCTTCCTGTTTCATCTAGTAAGACTAGCATATAATGTTACTATGCAATATGCCCCAACAAACTCCTTCAGAGGCTGCACTGTAAAAGGATCTGGGCTGCACAAGGCCCGATGCCTGTATGGCACAGAGCTCCATCCTCTTCATCACCAAGTATCTGAGTACGTAGATGTCTAGTAATATCCAGTGATTCGCAGATACGCTCTCCACTCAGCCTGTTAACAGGATTCAGACACTTGTACAAAGCGAACATTACAGGTTGCGTTATGGACAGGAATAGCGAAGCCTTTCTATGCTATAAATACTAAAGCTAGGATTCCTGTTCGTTTGACAGGATTAACGTACCATGTGCTTGTAATCCAATTATTACAGTAATTCCTGCTCTGGCAAGGCCCTTGTACCAAGACTCTACTGCAAGACTTTCCCCAAAATATCATTCTGTTACTTCAGTAAGTGGTTTGAAGTGGGAAGGAGGAGGAGGAAGGGGAAAAAAAAATAAAATAAAATCTTTTATGGTTTTAATTTCCTTTTACCTAATTATCCGTTTCCCTGCAATTCCTGTGTGCCTGGTAACAGACATTTTTTGTACATCACATAACAGCGTTGTCCCAAGGTGACTCCAAACTCTGTCAAGGGGGCTGGTTTGTAATTAGCTCGTGTCTACAGCACAACTGCTACAGGATCTTTCTTCTTGGTCACAAGCTCTGAGATCGTATGGGCCAAGCCCATCCCTGGCTGCACAAGCCAGCTCCAACTACAGTTGGAGCAACACCAGGGATGAGTCTGGACCAGTAAAGTTTATGAAACTATTCCTTTATACAATTGGTTTCAGGATTTTTGCCACTCTGCACTGGAACCACGTGATGCAACACCTGATGGTCCCATCCCACTGTTGTGAGTGAGGCGTTATTCACTGGAGACCAGGATAAACCTTTCACAAAATCTCGATGAGAACGACTTCTGAACCTAGAAGAGAGAGGAGACATTTAACTGGGTGAAGAAGCTTTCAGAGCAGCAACACTTTAAGGGTTCAGGTCTTTCTACTTCACACTGGGAAATCCTTAGCTGCACTATTAAAACTGGAATAAAAATAATCGCCTCAAATCCCAGCATGGACATAACCAAGGCTCAATTCAGCAGGACATAATGGAAAAGTTCATAATCTCCCCCTCACCCAAACAGACATGCCACTTAAAAAAAAAAAAAAAAAGAGATAGGAGGAAGGGGAGGCAGCAACTACAATGCACTTGTTTTGCATTTCCTTCCTTCACTTATTACCAGCCCCGGTCAATTCTGTTAATGCAAGACCTCAGTATCGGAACATACTAACCTGCCTCCCCCCGGGCAGGATTTCCCAGATTTCTGCAGGCTTTTTTCCCTTCTACTGTATGTAAATGCTAAACAATTTCATTTAAATTAGCAAGGCTAAAAACCAGCAACACTTACACTTCTGAAAGGCTAGAGTCAAGAACAGCTACTGAGCAATCTTCACTGATTGAAGCCAGAAGAGGGGAACTGCAGAGTAAAAAAAGACTCCAGTTAAAGCTACCTTATATATGAAAGCATTACAAAATGCATTGAGTTTTAATGAAGCAAACAACGGCAGCAATGAAACACATTAGCGTAGGATATTTTCATCACCACTACCATAAAATATTGTTGATTCACAGAAGTGAGGAAGGAAAACAGTGACAAGAGAATTCAAAGGCACATGTATCACCATCAGCCACAGCACTTCCCAGTCCATAACACAGCAATAGCCCTTCCACGGTGCTGTGCTATATGAACAACTCTCTCAAGTAGCTCTTATTCCAGAATTTAAAAACTGGGTGAACACTTTTAAGGTGAAACACATGTTCATGGCACTGGGAACACTACGTTCTGTGCAAAATAAAGTGCGTTTAATAGCATTGTGAATGGAGAAGAAAAACTTAGCTTTACCTGGCTACTCTGAATGTCCTATTTTGTTCCATCAGAGACCATTAATCCTCTATAACAGATTGGGACCAAGGGTACTCTTGAGAGGCAACAGACCCCGTCTACCAGCATTTAAATGACCTTATGCATTCTACATTTTATGTATCATCACAAAAGTTACCTGTGTGTAGAAAATGCAAACCCAGTCACAGTTTGGGAGTGCACAGCAGAGCTGAGGGCAGAATCCGGGTTCTTTGTGTCTACCACAGCAACTGTCCCATTTTCATCACCTTCAAGAGAGTGTGGGAGAATAGCCATCAGAAAAGAAACAGTGTGTCAAAAACAAAGGCTGTGATTGGGAAGTAGTCTACATGGCAGGAACGTTAACAATAACACTGTTTCTTACCCAAAACGAAAGCGTCACTTTGCTGTGGATGCCACATGACTGAGGTAGGTAGGTAAGTAGAGGCACTGCAAACTGTAAGCAAGGAAAATGGGCTGAGTGTGAAGAGAATGGTGAGCTCAGCGCTATCCCAGCACTCCTGCAGTTCCCTCACTTGCTGACTGGCTAAGATGAACTATTTAAAATTATAGCACTTATGCCAGACAGCTGGGTTGGTGCAATGTGGTACATCAACAAAATCTTAATGTCACCTAACAGATTTATCCGCCCCCACTCCCAACCCACTTGAAGACAGGCAGAAGAGGTTAAGTACCGCACAAGCAGAGAGACATACCAATTCGAGTAGCTGGCTTGGGGCATCTGGTATCCCAGAGTAAAATCCTGTTATCCTACAAAAGCAAAATTAGTGAAAAAGAAAAGGTTTTGTGAATTTGGCAACCTCACACGTCAATGATTAAAGCTCAACCCTGGGACTTCAGAGCTCCCGTCTGTGCTTTGCCACTGACTCTCCAAGGGCTCAGGCAAAACACAAACTCTGAGCCTTCATTGCTTTTCTGTGAAGCGGCAAGAGAAATTCCCATCTACCTCAAGCACACACAAAAATGCTCAACAAATGTGGAATCCACCAAATAGCAGCTTCCACAGTTTGAGAAGAATAAGAACTAGAGTTTATTTCTGTAAACAGTGCGTCCACTGGGGACCAAAAAGAGCTTTAAAAATGTCCACAAATCATGTCTTAAAGCTCGGAAAGGTGCAACAGAAAGAGCCATCATCTCCATTTTACACCTCTAAAAACAGAGGTGAAATGACTTATCGTTACCCAAGTGGGAAGCCAGTGCCATAACTGAAAACAGAACAACGCTCTGCTCTCCTACTCCCGTGCATTAATCACAAGAATATTTTTTTCCTTCCCAATTCACGTGTCATGGAATTCCCTCCACTGTAGATATATCAAGACACCCTCTCAGTGCAGACACTGTCCCACAACAGGGTACAAAAATCCTGCAGTTGGCTACTTATTGAACATGTACCTGACTTTTTTAACTGTCCAATACATGTTCAAAGTAATGTATACCAGCTAGACTCAGACGCCAAATAAGGCTTACCTCAGCACAGGACAGGAACACAGTATCCTTACCAGGACAGGAAGCCACACATGTCACTGAACTAGAATGAGCTATTTAAAGGAAGAAAGAGAAAGGTTAAGAGGTTGAAAAGCTGGCAACATGGATCAAACCGGGACACAGTGCTCAGTCAAGGGCTTAGAGGCAAGACATCCAAAGTAAATAACTCTGGGCCATAAACCAGTGTTGTCTCCAGTGAGACCTCACAACTGAAGTGCAGTGCAATATATCATGGGAAGAACAACTTCACTTGAACCCAAAAGCCAAAGCAGCACCCCTCCCCTGGCAGAGGGGAAGCAAAATGAACTTATCAGCTTGGCACTTACCTCTGTAGGAGTGTAGTGATGTTTGCTGGGGGATGTCCCAAACCTTCACGCTATGAATCAAATACAGTAGTCAGAAAGAGCAATAGCAAATTCACTTAAAAATACCAGATGAGAAACAAGAGTACAAATGACACGCACCAGAAGTCTCTGCTGCCACTAACAGCCTGAGTGCCATTATCCAGAACGCTCAATGTTGTCACGATGTCGTCGTGCTCATATTTACAGAATTTGTTCACGATGAGGGTTTCATTCTCATCCAGCTCCCACAGTTCCACAGCGCCTGCAGGAACAGAACATTTGCCCATTTTATCAACAGGGATAAGTCAATAACCAGCGCACACAAAAAAAACTCCAAAACAGGCAGAGATGCTGTCTGATGAAGAGTCCCATTTTCCCTGAAGGTCCCAGCACCCAACTGGATGCAACCCAAACAGACGTCACCTCCATGCCAGAAATGAGTAACAATTCAATGCAACAAAACAACCCATCCTAATCGTATTAGTAATTACATCTTGCCTGGTCCCAACACAATGGTACTGCTAATACAGGCAGTCCTCGGACTTAAGACACGGTTTTCAGGAACCAATTGTGTCGTAAGTCAAAACGTTGCAACTCGGAACCAATTTTCTCATAAGAAACGTTATAAACGGGGGATTGGTTCCGGAACCAAGGCCCCATGCCCTGTTTTCACCAAAAATCCCCCCGAATTTTGTACTCAATCAATTATAGATAAGCAGCAGAGGTACGTGAATGTATTTATATTGTAACTAGCAATCATATTGATTTGGAAGGACTTCTTTGAGGTGACTTTGCTGGACTTTTTGAAGGGTTCTTGGCTGGAGTTCTCTCAGGAGTCTTGGCTGCAGGTTCTTCTGGTGTCTTGCCTGCTTTCTTAAAGAAAGTGTCCAAGGACGTTTGGACAGACGTTCTCCGGGGAGATGGGTGATGCAGCGAACTCGTTCGCTGGCGTGGCATCGGATCACATCAAGCGTTGTAAAGTCAGAAAGTTGAAACGGGGCGTCAATTCATAAACGTTGTAAATGCGAAACGTTGTAACTCGAAACCTTGTAAGTCGAGGACTGCCTGTACGTGCAACCGAACCATTAACCACTGCAATAGCTTAGCGACGGACATCAAACAAAGCCTCAAATCGGTTACTCCAAACGATCCCTCTACTAAGATAACGTGACCTTTCCGGTCTTACCGATGGGAAAGATGCCCCAGAACTCACTTGGAAACTCTTGGACATATAACCCGGCGTCCTGAGCACCGAGCCGACACTCGAGGCTTTGTCTGCAAGTGACCAGAACCACAAGCACCCAGGCGGGGACTACGCATGAACAATTAGGGATTGTCAGTCTCTACAAAGCTTCTTTGTGACAACGTCTTGGGATGTTTTGAGCACCTGCATGTTCTTGCGCATCGACCGCTGACGGGGGCTACAAACGGAAAGAGCCGCGAAAACCTCGGTCGTGAGGGACCGTTCCCTCCAGGCCGTCTGCTCCCCCGCGGCGGCTGTCGAGACGCAGCCCCTCGCGCTCCCGATTACGTCGACGTGCCACCCGAGAGTGCCGCCAAAGGCTTTGCTTACCGGAATCAGAGGCCACCAGTATGCCTTTATCGGCCACCCACTGGAGATCGGCGATGCCCGCTTCCGTCTGGACTCCGGCGGAGCAAAACCCTTCGTTCGGGGCCCTCGCTGGGTCCTTGAACACCCAAATGGAGCCCACCCAGCAGCGCGCGTTCAAGCTGGAGGCGCCGAGGAGAAGGGTCCCGTCTGCAAGAGAGAAGCGTGGAGGTGGCAGGACTCGGCCCCATCGTGAGGGCGTCTTGGCCCCCCTGCCCTCCCCCCTCTCCTGCCCTGCCCCACC